CGACTGTGGGAAAAAAAAACTACATAGCGCTCCACCAATTAGGCACGCCCATGCAAACGCACAACAAAGGATGAAGCCACTTTCGCAAAAGGGGGCTTTAACTACCGTGGGTTGCGATAAAACAACAGACATGTATTTCCACATGCATTCCCACATGCATCTCCACACCCATGTGGTCATAATCTTTTTTCCGAAGGAACTGCCACTTTTGAGCTACTTACAAATTTTTGCTAAAAATTCTTTTAAAGACATCATCATGTGTTGGGACCTGTCCTCAATTAGACACGCGAAAAATCTGCAGAGAGGGGGGGAGAGCAAAGCACAGAACAAGAATGTGATGAAGACGAATCCGCCTGACGGATAGAGAAATGTCGAATGGCCAGTTACGTCACATATACATATGTGGATAGAATCTCCGCGCAGGCATTGCGCTTCCCTCCCTCCTCGTGATGTTTACTTATATTCCAGGGGGTCTCCTTGCTTTACAACTAACAGCCTCATGTAGGACGGAGTTCTTATCTTCCTCAAGGCGTTAATTATGTTCAGGATTTGCATTCCGCTGGGGTTTCCGCTGGTTCCTATAGGGTTGGGACAAAATGGCAAAAATTGCGCGAATTAACAAAATGATCTGAACAAATTCTGCAGGCGCATCTCATCCCGTGTGCGTATCAAAATGTGTGGCCTGCCCAAATTACCTAAATGATTTTCTGCGTATTCCGAATTTAACTGGTCCCATGACTGCACTCCGAAGACTTCGTACACCCACTGCGGGTTGATGCTTCTTCGAGGGGGGGCAAGGTGCGGGAGCAAAAAGCGGTGTTAGAGAGTAGACACAGCAAAGGACGGGAACAAAGACGTCCTGATGATGTAGCTAATAGTAGGGCCTAATAACACGCAGAAGCAGACCCATGTGATGAACTTATCAACCACGCAAATTACCGGCCAATCCACATGATGATGTTCTCCCCGTCCTCAACAATGTAGCAACCGTCCTGAGTCATATTCTCGCAAGTCAAACTCATGGTGTCCGGAAACATCATGGCATTATTGTCGTCATAATTCCCGTGGTGCTTCTCCAAATTGTGCAGACAGAACATTCTGGGGTAAAAATACGCCTCCACCGAATCGACCGGAATGTTTTGCACCCTAGACCAGTGATAAATTCGAAGATCGGGTGGCACATCTCCACTGTCCCGAAATGCAACCGATTTTAGCATCCCTAAAACGTAGATGGATAACAATCTAGCCGTCTCCGAAACGAGTAAGTGGGAAGATAAAACTTGTGAGCAGAGAGTCTGAATTAAGTTTCTCCCATCGGCAATTTTTCCTTTTTTACAAATATCAATAGCTTGATGTGATAGTAACGAAACAACAACTTGTGGGTTAATAGAATCCGTAATCGTCTTAATATTCTGAGTGATGGGGAGGGCATAGGTATGTAACCTTATTCTCCTTTCCCCATTCGAATTTGTGTATAACAAGGCCGACTGAACATAGACGACAGAATCTTGTACTACGTTTTCTTCCAAATCGACAATGATACTGAAATTTTGACTGGAGTGACAATTGGGTAGGGCTAATAAGTCCACTCCCCTAAATTGGAAGTTTCCATACCAGTTGGTAATTTTCCATCCTCTACTTATCCTTATTCGCATTACTGATTCCCATGCAGTTTCAGTGGTCAATGCGAAGAGTAGCTCCTCTCTCAGTTTGTCGCTATACTGATGTACATTAAACTGGGGGTAGTAATAAAGCGATCCTCCAGAATTCTTTACTAACGGATATATCGTTGCTAAGTCCAGGTTGTACAAAGGGCAGGCAAACAAATCAACAGCTATCTGGTATTGCGTGATGCTCTGTGCCAACTCGGTATAGAGATTATTAAACGGAGTTAACATTTCTATTTCTTTTATCTTCGAATCCACCACGTTATTGTTGGAACTTCCTGACCCGTACATGTTTTTGTAACTACTGCTCTTCTCCTTCGTCTCCCTATTCACACTAACTGTTAAGTCGCCAATATTTGGTGGAGACGAAAGAAAAAAGACAAGTTTCCCCCCCACTTTTTTTAACACCATAATTGCTGCTTTTAACGCATTGCCTGCACAACAATCGGTCATTTTGTTGTTCCTCCACATGGTCGGTAAATTGTCCAACAAGACGTCAATCACATTCTGACACTCATGCACATTGACCAAAATATCTTCCGGCAGGGGGATGAAGATGTCCTGTATATCTGGCACGACCATCATTTGCGTCTGCTTCAAATTCGAGTTGAGGTTGTAAAAATGGACCGTTGAATCGAACGTCATAATTCCTATTAGTGTTCTCGTGTCGAAAGGTTTCTTGCCATTCATATCGCCTCCGCTGTTATCATTACCGTTTGCACCGTTGTTTTTCGGTAGCAACTTCTTAATTGTGCTGCATACCACATCGAGAAGACCCGAGTTGACCGCCGTCACTGTCACATCGATGAGGAACAAATAGACGGGCGGCTGTGGAGGTCTTATCATGTAATCACTTGGCGCGATGAATTCCACACTGCCAGTGCATAATTCTGGCCTCTGGAAAAGGTCCTTCCTTTTCCCTTTCTCATCCAAGGGGGTGAAATAAAACTGAGGAGTGTCATTCACATGGTAACACATATTGCAGTTCCATTTCTTCCCTCCTCCTTCGAATCTCACAAAGGGGTTAATATACGTCCTACATTTTTTACATCTTACAACAGTTGAGTTTCCAAAATTTACGGACGCTAATTCTGGGTAGCCATCTGG